TCATTCACAGCGCTTTCCAAACTATATCTTCGTACCTGAATGATCCTTATATCCGCTCACCGGAACTCAACATGTATGTCAGGTTGAATGTGTTCTGACTCGAGCCAGATTCCAACTTGAGGCGAGCACCGAGATTATCTCGAAATAATCTCGGTCCTGAACTCGGTCTCAACCCCGAAGGTTTCCTGAATGAGATTAGGTATGTATGCAGCTACAATATTTCCTGAGTCTGTATATAGAGGATTTCTGAGGGGTTTGAACGCGACTTAAAATTCAACCCGTGGCAAGTTCTATTTTCTATCTACTTTCAATTTGTTTCCAGTCGTAGAATCAAAAGAGAGCACCGTGAGCACCGAACCCATTTACTCTACATATCTCCACTTCTTTCCGTTCCATCCTGACTATTTCTGCTAGCTGACTTATCTCTTTATTTTACAGGACAAGTGGTTCTTCAGCTCCGTTCTCCCTGCTCAAAATGTCTTTTGGCCAATGGTATACATGTAAATTGTGCAAGTGCGACGTCCCCACTCTCATTCCATTTCCACAAACCAACTAACCTGATTTCAATGTCGCGGCGCTTCCGATCTGCTGGGCTTCAACACAGCACCATTCTCCAAATCCCTTGTCCTATGGTCAATGTGTAGATTTGAATTCCGATTTTCTCGACTCACCAAGCCTTGGTTCATGTAAGATTCTCGTCGCGACTCACCGCGGTCCGCCGGGTACGGCTTGAGCCCGGAAATGCTGCACATCAATCCACGCCGGTGAGTTCTCCTGCAGAGCATTCATTGATGTGTGCTAAATGCCTTCTCACAGGCCAACCGCAACACAATTTATTCAGAGACTACGGATTGACTACAACAAGTGGTCCTCGCACGGAGGACTCGCGCCGCGCACAGCATGCAACAGGATCTCTCCCCCAGCTCGCCAGCTAGCACCTCTGCATCCCCGCACCACGAATGCTCGGAGCACGCCATCCTCGAGACTCGACGCAGCCGCCAGCACTCGCGATGCACTCGGGCTTCCCGCCGTGCTCTGCTGCACTCGTGTGCCCATCACCCTCGCACTTCGTGAGGAACCACGCGCCCCCAGCTCACTACGGCGAGGTTGACCCGCGCTCACCGCATCCCCCGTGCCTCCACTGCCTGCGCGCGGTCCGGTCGCTGCGCTGCCGCATCTGCGCATTCGTCACACTCGGCGGTCACGTGAGGACGGGGCTCCGCGGTTCGCCACGTTCAGCGCAGGCCGCCGCCTCGTTCAGCGGGCCCTACGCGCTCGACACTGCACAGCAAGACAGGGACGGCGGCAACATCGCGCTCGGACGTCTCGTTCCAGTTGTGCGCCCCGCGCTTGCGGCAGCGCTTGCTCGCCTCCTCGCGGACCTGGATGTGTCGGGTTCCCCTTCCTCAACTTATTTACTGCTTAGTTTAATTGCCTGGTACTTGAAACCAACTGAAAATCCCTCATTATATTTACACCTAATTTTCTCTTTCCTGTACCGGGGCTGATGGAATTCTGGCGCCTTGGAGTTGAACTACGAAACGTCTGCTGATAAGGGATTAGGCTTTTATGGTAAGTGATAAGATAATCAGTTGCCATAAAAGGCTAATCTATTTATAGCCAGATTTCGGAACTCAAATCCAAGCCGCCGAAATTCCGTCAACCCTGCCTCACACATCAGCCATGAAGTCTCCGGGGTCCTAGTATGTTAGCCGACCCGCCTATCACATATCAAGTGACGTTTTGCATTATCAAGTTACGTTTTGTAAGCTGTCCAGTCCTTGTTGCCATACGATTGCCAGAGGCGCTAAGCTCCTAAACAATTGGAGGAGCCTATTTCCCAAAGGATTCGACGTCCAACGTCCCGATACTGTGGCGTGCTTTCATTTTATTTCTTCTCCGGGCGATCCCTCGGTGGCTGGATCAGCGCTAACTTGAAGGCCTTCGTAGATCGTGACCTCATCCGTTTAAATGACCTCGAGTGCTTACTCTCGCTTGCTTTAAGCGTACAGCGCATCGTTCGTTCGTTGGCTCTGCGGCGCTGTGAGTATTACATTACATAGCTGACGGCGAGTCTTGATCCTGATTCCTGATTATGATGTTCCGCAGGCAGCGTCATGTCCAACTTCAACTTATCACGTCCTCAAATCGACTACAGCCGCTCACCAGCGAAGCACTTCATTTCCTCGCTTGCGGCGCGTTCTCCTCCGAGGGTCTGCAAGACCTCGGCTGAGTGTTCAGCTCTGTGGCATCGCACTCGGAATCGTTTACTTGATTTCATCCCGATTATTTATATTTACGCAGGTCCGAGGTAAGTGCCTCAAACTCACATGCAGTTTTCAGGGCAAATCCGTTCATCTCGTGTAGATCGCGTCGTTCATTGCTAGTACGGGTCTGCGAGATCTTGCCCCGACTGCTTACCTCGTGAGATCGCAGCTCGAGATTTTCATTGCCGGTTTCAAGGCAGGTCCGTTCATCTACATGTACTCGCTCGCGAGGCATTTACTCCCAGGTCGCGCAAAACCACAAGACTTCGGCTGACTCAGTCTCGGGCTGCGATGAACAGATGCTCGTTTATGGATTCGAGGATTACCAAGCTCAGGAGTCCCTTGTCGCCCTAGCGCCACACATTATAATAAAATACCTTTCGAACTCTGTTCTTGCACACGTCATTTCATTGTTTTGCTGGGATACCTTGGGTGAGATTGGGACATGCAAGGAAATTTTCGGGGCACACAGAACAAGATATGTACCAGAAATTGAGGGCAAAAAGAAACCGTACTAAGTATAAGTCCATAGCCCGTCAAGCTTCAGCCATCAAGATCCATCCCTTTCAGCTTCTGCATCGTCGGTGTCAATTGTTACAGTCATACCGGTCAGCAGCAGGAAAACAACTTGAGTGGACCCCGGCTAGAATTGTGAACAGACATCGAAACACGACGGATCTGTAAGAAGAGTCGTTAGCGCTGCAACAAGGAAAGAGCTCGCCGTCGCCTACGTTAGACAAAGTTTGTATCCCTTGTACCAATGTGGATGTGCATCCCGCCCTCCACAAGCTGACGCAGAGCCGTAATAATCACATCGCCAGGTTTGTCCTCCGGGACGCAATCTGACCAAAGCAGCCGGAAGGATCGGATCTGTGAGGGCCCCGCCGCGCATCGGGCGGAGAGTATGCTGACCAAATCCTCGTATTCATATTGATCAGGGAAGAATTGGCGGGTCGTGAGGGTGCGGAGGTTCGGAAGGAGGTTTGGGGAGGTTGTTAGCGCCGTCAAGAACTCGAAATCATCTTCCATTTTGACCAGCTCGAGATCCGCCAGGCTGGGGATAAGGGTGAATGCGCTTGAGCTGACCACTTCTGGATCGACGACACCATATATAACGACTGCAATGGCGGGGCGGATCGGGCTAGGGAGGAGATGATATCGGAAGGGATATTGATGCCGGGTATGTACAGGGTTTGCAGCGCAGGCAGCGTGAAGTAGGATAAAATGGATGTGTTGCTGTATTCGTCGGCCTCTATACCAAGATGTAGACTTCGGAGGGAATTATGAATGAATTCGGTTAAATTGGTTGGAGGATCGTCGCTATAAAAATACACTCGGTCGAAATTGCATTCCACGAGGTTTGGCGCGGCACGGATTAGCTCGGCACATCCACGGGCATTGAGAGAGAAGAACTCTGCGCGGTCGGGATCGCGGTCGTCTTGCGCAATAGTCAGTGCTGTTAAGCACGGAAACGAGGCGTTTATCTGTTTCAATGACGTCTCGGACGCAAAGTACAGTTGTAATTTCTGCACCCGAGGTGCGTGCTCGTTCAGCACAGACGCTTCGGCCTGCGGTAACGGTCCACGGAGGGAGATGGAGGTCGCACGAGTACCGGCGCGTTTGAGCCAAGCTTCGAACAGGTGCTCGAACCCTGGTGCCCGTGGAAACTCGATCTGAATGCTGGTCCACAGCGCGGAAGCGGAGAGAGCGATATTGGACCATGAATGGCACACTTTCAGAAACACCATGGGTGCCATGAGCGGATCAGCTCGCGGGATGGCGGGGAGGCATCGCGTGAAGATATCAGACGAGATTTCGAGTGGCAGCCGCGCCATCGGGTCCAGGATGGCGTTGAGGTCACGTTGGACTGCCGTCCTAGTCTTTTCGAGGTCGTAGATGATTTCCTTATGGTGGGCTATAGCGGAGGCAAGGTCTTCAAGACGAGTACGGAGGGCAGCCGCATCTGACATGGTGGTTCCGAGTCAAGCGCAAAATAACAGGAACAAATACACTGCCACCAACTTAACCGGTGCCGTTTCTCACCTACAATATGCAGTACGTTGTCTGGGTCGTTGAGGTCCGTCACAATTTACGCGAACATGGATTGATATTGTTTTGTCGGTCTCGCCGCTTTCAACTTTGATTGGGGGTCGACTCGTGTTTTCCGCGGGGTGTCTTACTTTGAGCTCGGGGGAACTCGGTAATTTTCTCCGGGGCATTTGAGGCAGTAGCCACCGATTTTGTTGCTGACCGTTCAATCGTGTGAAATATCTCGGTTGGGCATTGGAAAAGTTGGCGGGAAATAGCGGTTCAAAACATCCTACAGACCAGAGAGATGGAACATCGCGCTGAAATTTGGCTGAAATACGGTCGAAATGGCAAGAGTCTAAAACACCGAAAAAAACCTCCTCGTAGCATACATGATCCGACCCCGGATCGGATGGGGATCTCCTGCCTACACTGGGTTCGTGAATATTTTCAGCAGGTGCACTGACCAATTATGCTATCAGGTCTTCCCTAGGCATCTTCCACTGGTATAAGTAGGACAAAAAAGCGGGACGTGAACCTGATTGGGTAGGTTAAACCAAAAAATAAATTGGAGGTTCTAATCTGGGCTTGACTGTCGTTCTAGCAAGGAAGAGCCACTTTGGGATAAGAACATAAGTTCCGCAGGCGTCGCTGTAGCCATTCGGAAATTTGAAAGAAAAAAGAAAAAAAGTCCACAAAAGAAGGCGATGACCCCGGATCGAACGGGGATCTCCTGCTAGATGACATGTTATATGACTTCGCCAAGTTAAGCAGGTACACTATCCAATTATGCTATCAGGTCTTTTTTAGTCTTTTCTACTGTGATATAAGTGAGACAAAGGTAAGCTTCAATGGTTCAATTTTGGGTGGCTTCGACCAGAAAATAAATTGTACCTTGTTCGGAGAATCCTTGACCATCATTTCATCTGAGGAAAGAAGAGCAACTTTGAAATACTGAAACGAGGACCACAGGCTGTTATATAGCCAGTTGCCCAAAAAATGAAAGAAAAAGGGGAGGGACGGCTGCAACATGACCTGGCCCCGAATTGAACAAGGATCTCCTGCTGAATATTCACAAACACAATATGTTGAACAGGTGCACTAATCAATTATGCTATCAGATCTTTCTTATGCTGGATTACCGTGATCTAAGTGAGACAAAAAATTGAACCTTGAACCCGGGTTTAAATTTCAAATTTGCACCGGATTCAACTACTTGGGCAGACTCGGAGATTCAAATGAAAAAATTGTGGCTTGCCTGCATCAATGACTATCATTTCACATTTCATTTGACCAAGGAAGAGCTGCTTTGGAATCAGAAAATGCTCCGCAGGATGTTACAGTCTAATACGGGTCCGTGAGACACTCAAATTAAGTAATTCAATTTAAATACCCCCGTGTCCAAATCTGCCTATTTTTGGCTCTCAGATATTGAAACCATATGGTATCCTACTTTTGGCTTACTCAGAATCTGTGGAGTGCAAGTGTTGCCAATGGTATAAGGCGAAAGTAGGTGTCTCCGGGAGTGATCGGATGAAACATTGCCAAACAACTTGCATTTTTCACCCATTTCACGGCTTAAAGAAGGGAAAAATTGGGGTGGAGGACATTTAAATGAGATATTGGAAGGCTATGAGCACATGTTGCATGGGAACTGTGAGGAATTGAGGGGGAAAATAGATGTCTCAAGGACTCGCATCAGGAAAATGTTTTTTGAGCTGACAGAGCTGGTGCCAGCTCTGCCAACCTTGCCATCACGCCATAATCGGGGCTAGCGCCATAAAAAGATAGCGAGCGCCAATATGTTTTGTATGCCGGTACCCGGCTACAGAAAGGGGGGCTTGCGCAATTCTCAGTTCCCGTTTTTCACTCTGCACTATTAATCCTCGTTGAGTACATACTGACTAAGGTCCATCCCATATGTGTCTAATGTGAATCCAAGCTGATTCCTGCGCTGATTATCGTCCGCCAACATTCTCATCAACTCCGTCACATTTGGCCGTTGTAACCGGCTTAGCGGAAACGAAGTCCGGAAAGCGACACCTGCCAATTCAAAGTGCAGGTCGCGGCCTCCATCAGTTGATTTCTCAGAGTTAGAAGGAACGGCCGAGCTGGGTGGGACCCGAGTTCGCTTTCCTCGATGATCACGGGAAGTGGCGGGTATGAGGAGTTAATTGATGAAATTACCGTACACGGGCTGAACAGACATCATTAGAATGGTGAAGTGAGCCTGAGAGAGGGAAAAAATTATGTTGCAACCATAGGGATTCTTGACGTAACTGGTGTAAAAGATTTTCTAAGGGTAATGTTTCTGGGTGTGAAGGCGGTCCAGATGTGCGAGCACGTCTTTCCTGCGGGCTGTGCATCACAGCCGGATATGGGGCCAGCTCATCGCGGTTAACAAGTGGATGCCCATCAGTCCAGTGTGGTGGTGGAAGAGGAAGTGAAAGCGGTTTAGTGTATGAACCCGGATTTCGTTGATATTCACCGCCTCCACCGGGTAACTGCGGAAAGTAGTAGCTGGGTGTTTCATAGAGAATTTGAGAGAGAGACTACGGCTACAATGGCGGAGTCGGAGGTATCCGCAATGGGTCAGCAGGAGCATTTTGATTGTGCATTGTATTCTGAGGCCCAGCCACCGGGTTTACACCATGAAAAGCATTTTGAGATGCTAGCCGGTCTTTTTTTCGTTTGAGATTCCGCCGCGCAACTCGAGCAGTATACATATCGAGATCAAGGCCCTTCCCCATCTTGCGGTGCCCAGAATATTTCCAACTCAAAAAACTTCTTGCAGAATTTCAAGGAAAACACACCAAAAACACACACAATGAAATAAAACAAGCCCATCTTAAGTTCGGGGCGGTTCCATCCCTTTTCAGACTTAAGTTTACACAGAACTTAAGATGAGCTAATAAAGTATTTGACTCGTTGAAGGTATGTATTGCAGCCGTTGGATCCGAGGGAGTATTTGTCGGAAAGGCTTCGGATAGACATGCTTAATTTTGTAAAGAGATAGATAGACACAACATAGCGGATAAGTAGCTGTTCAAATGGTACAGAACCCGAGAGAATACGAGAGTCTATCGAATGTGAATGTGAGCAACATAATTTGCAACGAACCAGAGACTTGCAAGAGTGTCCACGGGTATGGGGTGTTATCACCCACCCGAATGGTTGTGCGCCGGAGCCTCCTGGATCACCAAGAGCAATTCTACCTCTTTCCATAAATTATGGAATACAATTGCTTCGTCGTGCAATTGCAGTTCCTCTGGATCCTCGTTATCGAGGCCATCTCGGCTTGTTGTGATGCGTTTCAGATCCGGGAAAATCGCGGAGAGGAATTGCGCAACAGGCATTATTACTGTGGATATTCGGGAATGCGCAACATCAATCGATTTCAAGGCATGCTGTGAGGGGCCCAGGGCCTGGGCTGGGGATGGTGGGGCACTCATGCCATCGAAGGTTATAGTGAGGTTTGCGAGGCGGGGGCACCATGTCGCAAAGGAATGCAAGCATTCCAGAGTGGCGTTGGGCGGTGACCTAGACGGGCTGTATGATGTCATATGCATTTCTTCGAGATGAGGCCAAGCGCGTGCCAAATCGGCGGCAGTGATGTTATCCAAGTCGATTCCAATGGGGGATGAGATGTTTATAGTCACCAAATTGGTGAACCCAACTAGGAATCGTATTGACTCGCGATGGATGCGAAAATTCGGGGAGTTCCCATCGAAACTAGTGATACCGACATCGAAATTGACCTCCGTGAGAGACGAGTGCAAAACACTCGCTGAAAGAGCACGGTAGAACTCGTGTGACTCGGCTGTTGTAGGGTAGGATCGTACATAGAAGCTGAGTGATCTCAATGGAACTCCTTTGCACGACCTGAGGAAATGAGTGATAGCCTCTATATCCGAAGAGCCGAGGTGCAGTTTGCGGAGAACCGCAAATGGTTGGGGGTCAAAACGTGGCGAAAGCGAGTGGGAGGTAGGGAGCGTGTTCAAACGCAGTGCTGTGAGGGTCGGAAGCCTAGAGAGGTGTTCCAAAGCACCGTGGTCCAAGCTCTCCACATGTACAGACTCGATGTACTCCAAAGAACGCAGAAAAACGGAGACAGCTTGTTTTTCTCCACATGAAATTGAAACATCCTTTAAGGTAGGACATTTCAGTGCCAGAGTCGGGAGGAGCGAAATCGCGGGGATAGAGGATCCGGAGAATGTTAGCGATGTGATTTTGGGACCGAGGAAAAGATGGATATAATGGAAGCTGGGATCTGAGGGGCACCAATAAAGAGTCTGCAGATTGGGGAGGAGTTGATCAGGGAGGCAGACACTGATTACTGGGAAAATTCCCGACAAGTCACAATCCCAGGAAGTGCAGCAGAGATTCCGAATACGAGGTGTGTATGCGAGCACTCGGTTCCAATCCTCCGCCCGAATAGGTCGACGTGCATGCTATGAGTCAATAGGTCACTAATCGATTATTACCGAGCCAATCCACTCACCATGTTACATTTCCATGCAGCTTCCGCAACGTCATCGACCACCCATAAATCAGCAGGCATGCAGCGGAGGAGGTTCACAAGAGCCGAGGACCTCCAGAGACGGTCGAGAGCAAGTTCGCGGAAGGTACCACAGGTTCTTGCCAAGACTGCGAGGTCCTGCAGGGTGGGCTGTCGCCAACTGTAGCTGTGACGGCCCGAGTGCTCTCTTGGATCAAGATGGGAAAATATGAGGGCAAGGAGTTCCTGGACGCTGAGGCAACGATGCATTGACTATGGAAAGGATGGGATAGTGCAGACTGTGGAGCGTCGAAAGAACACCTGTCACGGTGGTGACCATGCGCAGGATTAGAAGCAGCCGCAATACAACGACAAACAATCTTGCCGGTTGCCTCAGATCGCCAGTTTTGTCCCCACACATCATTCTGCATATGGTAATTCACACACGTGATCTCCGGACCCTCCGGCGATGCTCCGCAAAGCCACCATGAAGTCGAGAATGGGTGGGTGGCATGGCCAGGCCCGAACTGTGTATGGGCGAGGGACTTCAAGAAATGAATTCTCATTGCATTACTAAGTCGCGAATGTGTAAACATGAAATACAACGTAATATTTACACAATAGGACGCGTCGCGGACCGCACCAATGCACCCACGACGCGTCGGGACGCGTAATTTGTATCAAAGATGGAGCACAATTGGAATAGGATGGAATAGAAAGACTCACAGTATATCTGTCAGCATGCCACCCGCACTGCAGAGTGGTGGCATCGGGCATTGCGAGTGGGGCTGGCGGCACAAGGAGAACTTGAAGACAACCGGGAGCCCGAGGGCAATATGAGCCTCGGGATGCTCGAGGATGGTTCGCAGATGGTTATTTGAGCAATGGGGCACCCTCCCTTGCAGTTGGGAGGTGGTGTCGTGGCGGTACGGAGGAAAGAGGCAGTGATTGACAAACAATGCTCGACAGTCCTCCGGGGCTCCGGAGGTCACGTTTTGATGTTATCAGATAGGGATTGATGTGTGGGGACCATTCTCAAAAGCTGGTTGCCTCCCGATTTCATGTTGTACATCATGATCGTGTCCTCCCTGAATTTTGCTCCCGTGTTGCTCGGGACAATGATGGCGTTCCTATTAATTTGCCGCTCCGTTCTGTGGCACAGAACGGCCTCCTCGAAAGGTCTGGCGACGCATACATGCAAAAATGTATGGGTGTGTCAAGAATCACATCAGCAAAATGTATTTGAGCTGGCCGGGCTGGCACCAGGTCTGTCAACACTGCCATCACACCATAATCTGGCCTAG